TGTGTGCAAATAAATAGGAAAATATTCATTGATGGACATATAATTGGGTATTTTAGGGTGACAGATTAAAATCCCCAATTTGGTCTAGAAGTTTGGAAACTAAAGTGAGATGTTAACCCTCAGACAAGGGGAACGTGGGAACTTTGGAGTGAGAGCAAGTATATTTCCAGCTTAACCCCATATTTAGGGACTGTACATTGGATTAGACAATGTACTTTGTCGCTTGTAAAAAGTATAAAGAATAGAATTGCTCCTATTTGGCACAACAAAATTTTCTTCAATTTGATAATTCACTGACTATAATATTGTTTTAAAGGGAATGATACTTTCTTAAATTTGAACTCTTCATCACAAATCCTAGTTTAGTTTTTAGAAAATTTTGCTTTGAAGTTTAGAAATTTGTGTAGTAAATGTAGTTTCATTAGTGACATTAAACAAATTTTGTCTTGTTTTCTTACTTAAGTTTTCTATAGTTTAAATATTGTGTTATTGCGTGATTACCCTAACATATGTTCACCTCTTTATAGGATCAATGCTTATGACTTCATTAGAGTCCTTTATTACTTGAGTGATACATATACTTGTGTTTACAACCTAGTGATGATTTGAAATTGAAAGTACACCTTATTTTACTACGAGTGGCAGCTTTAAATATTTTAAAAGAGTAAACTTATTATACTAAAGTAAATTTTATTATCATTGATTTTCATATTTTTGAGTATAGCTAACTTGTGTGTTATTATGTGAAAAAAATTTATAACGCACAAAAATCTCTGCATCAAAAGGCAAGAGTGTCGAGCCTCACATGTTGAACCCTCTCGAAGGAGCAAGCATGGGTGTGGATGAGAGGTAAACCACGCTTGGGGAAAGAAGGTTTGCAAGCCTTGCGTGATACAAGAAGGCTCCCTGCTCATGTTAATAGTAGATGCATTTGAATTCAAAATGTAATTAGGTAAGAGAGATATAGTTTCAAGACTGATTAGCGAATCATTTTGAAAGATAATGTATGTTTTAATTAAAGTTAAAGTTTAATTTACTTAATTTAGAATAAATTTAACTAATTTAGAATTAGTACTAATAAAATATTAATGTATAATAACAATTAAAGGTGAAGAATATTTGATTATAGATTATCTAGAGATAGAGAGTCAGTGAGTTAAACAAACAAAATAAGATTAATTATTTTCTTATTGACATTAAGGGTCTGTTTGGGACAGTTGCAGCTTATCCAATTTATCCAGATCAACAGCTTATCCTGATAAACTAGCTAGCTGTTTGGGTTGGTTGTTTGAAAACAACTGATTTGCAACTGTTTGTGGATAAATGATCATTCTGCCCCAAATATGTGGTATGTATGTAAGTCTTCTCTTTTTTTATTATTGCTAACCCATTTTTGTTTATGTAAATACATAAGAATTAGGTTATATGTATGTAAATTTTTTTTTTATTTTATGTGCAAATACAGAAAGATTGTATGAACGTAAATGAATACACAAGAATTGAGTGGTATATGCTTAAATAAATATACATATATTGAGTGTTACATATGTAAATAAATATACATGAATAAATACATGAAATTGGGCGATATGTACTTAAATAAATGTGAAAAATTGAACGGTATAAACGTGAATAAATATTTAGGAATAAATACATGATATTGGGTGCTATGTATGTAAAACTTTTTTTTTGTTTTGCTGCAAACAAAAAAGAATTGAGTGGCATGTGTTAAATCTTTGTTTTTTTTTATTTTTATTTTATTGGGTGTGCAAATATGCAAAAATTGCGTGGTATTTATGTAAATGTCCCTTTCATTCTCTATGTTATCAGACATGCGCAAAGGAGAAGAAGAAGAGGAGGAAGAGGAGTATCTGGCCAAAGCGTCGATGGAGAGAGGAGTTCGTCGGAGTACGAGGAAGAAGGGAGAAGAGTGAGGGGGTGAAAGACGAATGTTACCTTTCTCAATGGTTTCAGGTAGGAGTAGAAAGAAAGCAGGTGAAAGATGGGAGTTATGAAGGGCTTTGTATGTCACGATCCCGTAGTTGCCTTCCGAGCTAGCTCTAATCACGATCATATGGCTAGGGTTTCGATCACGAAGGCAAGGGTTTTTGGGCGGAGCCGGGAGGAACCAGAAGTGGGCGAGGGTTGTTGGACGGAGTCGGGAGGAAGGCTGAAGATACGCGAAAAGGGCAACAACGTCAAATGAAGAAGGAAACGGGGACCGCATGGCTCCACCCGCGACCCTCATTTTGTTAAATAACAAAACAATGTTTTCAAATAAGCTTCCCGAATGCTGCTTCCAAACAGTGAAACGACGTTTACAAAACGTCACCGCAGCTGATAAGCTGCCCCAAACACACCCTAAATTAATGACTTATTTTAAAGTTATGTTTTAAATAAATCAAATGAGCTTAAAATATAGTTTAAAAACAAACATTACATTCAGGTCTTGTATTTTGAAAGTTTGAAATATCTCACAAATGGAAGAAAAACAATATCTAAAAAAACATACAAATGATTTTATATTGATATAAAATGACAAGGCTCAACTTAATCAAGATTTATCACTAGATGGTACTAACAAATGATGTGATAAATGTACCATCACATGAAATTTTTTTAGAATAACTATGAGTTCAATTTTGAAAATATATTTGAAAATGGCACTAATCATGATATCTCTGAAATATAATAAAAATGATTAATACTTGAATTAAAAAGTAAAGTTAAATTTAAAATCAACAATTACAATTTGATCAAGTAATGAACTATATTTCTTTTGAACATCATGCATAACATTTGCATGATAATTTAATGCACATCAAAACTATGTCATGAAAATTTATTATTGTAATTAATTTTTTTTTTTGTGATGAAATGAAAAACTAAAAATTGATATTTATAATGGGAAAGACTTAATTTACATGAAAAAGAAGCATAGCTAATAGATATCATGTCATGTTGTGATTATAATTTTTTTAGCATTACTTTTTTAGGGTGGTGATATACAATTATATTTTAATTTGGGATGTATCTACAGTCTATTGTTAATTTTTGGATATTTTGATTTTTGTATGGTATACTTGTGATTTCTTAGTAGCTCTTTCATAAATTAAAGTTTCTAGAAAACTAGGGATAGTAATTTAAATGTTAATAATGTTCAAAATTATTAATTCTAAACTATCCTGACAGTGCAATAAATATTCAAAATAAAAAAAAATTAATCATTAACGATCAAGAAGCACAGCATTCACATGGAATACCAAAGGCAATAGAAAGCATATAGACATCTAATGGCATAATTTGAAAACTCCATTATACACAATCATAATAAACTATAACATTTCTGACTACAAACAAGCTTCTCGTATTCCTGTTCCCCTTCTCACCTTGTTCCAGCAGTTTCTTAACTTGGTAAGGTGATGGAATGCACTTCACTGCCTCTTAGCCAATAATTTCTTGAGCCCCTTTAATATCTTTAAGAACCACATCACGTTCATGATAAATAGTGCCGATGGCACCACAAGGGCTAAGAAGTACCCAAATGCATGCATTTGCAGAACCTGGGGTTTAAAATCACGGTTTGTTATAATTATAGAAAAATATTTAGAGACAACATTTCTTATGTGAGAAAAGCTCAACCTCATCATAATGCAGGTAGATGTGGTAGAACAAGTAGATGAACAATAAAATCCGTGCTGCCTGCATTTTGTAATGTTCTTTATTACAAGAAATATAAGAAACGAATTGCTAACAGTATTTATTTTTTTATGAGAAAAAAACATGCAAAAACACTTGCCGTGAAAAAATACAGTTTAATGTTACTGCTAGATCTGTAGGTTAGAAATTACTCAAAAGAAAAGGTTATCAAGAGATATTTGAAGACATACAGACTTTTCAAATGTTGTATATCAGTAACTCATCCAGAGCAATATTGTCATGACAAAATAACACACTTTGACAACCTCTATTCAACGTATATTCAAATGGTTCCAAGTTGAATTTAAGGAATACGAAACCTTAAAGGGGAGGCCAAACCATATACAGACCTACAGAGCATGCCACTCAAGAGAACCATTCATAAAATCGGTAAAGGTAAACCATCTCAATTTATTTTCTAAATCCCCAAAACATTTACTGCCATACACAATGGAGCATGCTGGATGAAATGCAGACTCCTAGGGCCCCCAATTTCACAAACCCAGAAGCTTAATTATTTGGTTGGAGGAGACTGATCATTCTACCTATCAAAATTTCCCGTTAGAAACCATTATTTTTAGTTGTATACAACTTTTAGATCATTCAGTAAATTATGAATGCAATAAAAGTCTCTCAATGGTCATCTCTGCAGTATTCAGACATAAATGAATTACCTGGGAAACAAAAAAAAAAAATACTCAATTATAACTTTCATAGCATAAAGTATTTAATTGACTTGGAATTTAATACACTAGCAGCGATTGGTTATATAAAAACTCAACCAAATTATTAACTCCTATATAAATAAACATATATTAATTAATACATTAAATTATACTTTTAAGTAGTAATAGCAACTGTAATATAGTGTTTATTAATATAAAAAACCTACAGAATATATCAAAAGAAGCCCCAAAAGCATTAAATACTTAGGGTTGCCAGTTATGTAGACTTAACAAAAAGACAATATAGACGAATTTTCTATAAAGCATGTTCAAGGTTTCATATTTGAAACATTATGAATAAATACCATTAACGGTACTTTTACATATATATATACATTCACAAACACCTAATAACTAAGACAGCTATGCAGATGCAAATGTACTGCATGTATAATCCGTCCGAAACTTGAATGAACTTTGGGGACGCAAAGCTGAATCAGCAAACCTATTGCCCAAATTAGTCACGGATGGAATATGTTCTCATTAATTCGCAAATAAACAAGCCTACCAGAAAAATATAATATGAGCCTCAAAGTGATGAGAAATCGACAACACTATCATCCTTAAAAATAAAAAAAGGGATATGCAACATCATAAAACTGAGCAAGCTCAAGATCATAAAAACAAAACAATTTTCAGTAGAGGCTACCAACATCATGAGAAATTGTGTATAGTTTGTAGCAATGGTTTTTGCAAGTGCTCCGTGGATCAAATAAGCTAAAAAAATTGATTTCACTGAAAAAATTCCACTTTGATTTATTTTGTCAGAATGATTTAAGACACTGCAAAGAAAACGTTTAAGCATATGGTTTATGAAAACTATGGAGTTTACTAACTCTACTTACCAACCATGCGAAGAACATCAAAACACCATTAATAAGATATACACCTGATCTTTTCATACCTGTGGTATCGAGAAACCTTTACAAAAGAAGTAAAACTGTCAGGTAATTTTAGCAGATGATGACTGGATCTTAATATGCATAAAAATATTACGCCTACAAATATACCATCGCATATTAATCCCTGGCGTAGTTGTCTCAGAAATAAGAACCATATATGTGTACAGCTGTCCTTGACCAGTAAACATTGCATAAGCAATTGCACATAAGGAAAGTAAATGGTGTAAAACCTGCAGGAAGACATTGTCACTGAAATGATGCCACTTTTGGAAGCAAAGATTTAACACAGTATACATAACAATGGAGTTTCCCATGGAATTTTACTAGTTTGAACTAGGATCTCCTTCTTAAGCAATTAGACTATGGAAAAAATTATTTCACCTCCAATTTCTTGTCATTCTTACAACAACTACATGATAAACCCAGATAGGTAATACATATATCATTGCTACTTACATATTCCAGTCCACCAAGGCAAGGATATAACCAAAACATCATCACAAGATCTGTGAGAAAATACCCAGCCGAAACCTGTCATAAGTACAGAATATGACTTGATTCAAGTGATCTAAATATAGCAACTAAATAGCATGTTTCTCAAACAGTAAAAGAATTACACCAAGTGAGAAAGTAGAGAGATTTGAACTCCGCAATGTAACAGGCCCCTGGAGCTCATTGTAGAAGAAATCTGAGACGAAGACCATGTATAATGACATCATTGTGATAAAAATAGCATGGGCGCTGGACATACCCCTGCAGGAAGAAATTTAAACAAAACATAAGAATTCAAACCAAAGATTTCAAGAAAATTCACATATATTTAATCCTTCAAACCTGTTGTTCCATTCAATTCTTTGGATTTTTGTAAGAGAGGTGTAACTCTTCAGATTAACTGAACTGACTAACTGAGAAAGATCATATGCCTGAAAAGACAAAAAATGTAAAAGAATTTGTAGGACAAAAAACATGATGAAAAGATCCCTTTGGGGATCTTTCATACCTATTATCCAAACCTCCAAAAAAAATAGGACAGGGAACTTTGTGACAAGTATTTTTGTCCACAATCATGGCAAATGATTAGTAAATATGATCTTTTGCTTGTAAAGCTTAACAGTTATTAAAACCCTGTCAGCTCTTCAACAAATCGGTGTGTTCAACATTTGAGCATTTGACAAAATATGGTTCTGTGATTAATTTCTATGCTATATTTAATGATATCATAAGTTCTATCTTTTATGCTAAACATTTGAGCATTTGACAAAATATGGTCCTGAGAAGATCGTGGAGAATCTTGTGGAAAGATTCAGGCACCACAAAATTTATTTTTTTTCTTTTTGTTTTTAGTTTTATTTTGAGAGTTTAGAGTATTATAAAAGAGAAGAAATTCAAAAGAACTTCAAGAATTTGGTGGAGGATTTGAGATAAATTTTTATCTTTTGTTTTGAACTACTTTTGATTTTAATTGAGATTTCTTGTTGGTTTGACAATGATTTCTACTTTTAAACTAAAGTGTGGTTTTGTTTTCTCCATGAATTCTAAGTTGTTTTATTTATATTTCTCCTTAAAATGATAAGTAATTAAAGTGTTGGATGGAAGTTATGGAGAGTATTGATCTTTAATGTTGGAAGAAGTTGTGATGATTTAAATCTAT